AGGATAAGGAATGGAGCATGAATGTCAGTCAGCAATAAGAGTCCTCTTGAGGTTAAACCAAACCAAATCAAACCCATTGGCATCAAGCCAATTCCAACTCATAGTGACCCTATAGGGCAGAGTAGAGCTAGGTTTCCAAGGCTGTAATCTTTACAGAAGCAGACTGCCATATCTTTCTTCTGCGGAGCAGCTGGTGGATTTAGAGGCAAACTGCCACATATTTCTCCTGTGGAGCAGTTGGTGGGTTCAAACTGCTGACCTTTTGCTTAGCAGCAGAGTGCTTAACTATTGTGCCACCAGGGATCCTCCCTCTTGAGGTTACTGATGATTAATTTAAAGTGAACCCAATCAGCATGTTTGCATCCTTTTTCCAGCTACATTTAGCTGTGCGGGTGCAGGTAGGAATAAGAGGAGCATTGGATTTAACCAGCATTGTCCTTCCTCTAAAAGACTAAGGTGAATTAAGAGAAGGGCAAGAAAGTTGATTATAATGACTAACCATGGAGTTTAAACTAGGCAAGAAGGGGAGTGAGACATAAGTGTGGTGAGAAATAGAGGAAACATCTAAGTCTGTGCCAGGCATGGTGCTAAATATATGCATTGTCTCATATAACCCCAACAACACTCCATGGAACTATTATCCTCCTCTTACAGATGAAGAAGCTGAAGCTTAGAAAGACTTTAACTTGTTCAAGGTCTCATAGCTGATAAGTGATAGACCCAGCATCAAGTCCAGGAACTCTTGTCACCAAAGGCTATGCACTTAACCTTCTTACTATATTGCTTTAACTGGAGTATTAGTGGGTATGTTTAAATTGATGCATGTTTAGTAAAGATGCTAATTCTTTGTCCAATACATTTTTTTAATATTTTACAACTTGTGTTACTTTTAAGATTTCACAATGTACAGAATTTTTAAAGTTTATAGTAAAATATATTTACCTTATCCCTAATTCCCTATCCATCCAGATATTAAATAATCACTTATATTTTCTATTTATGCATTTCATGGATTGAATTATGTCCCCCAGAAAATGTGTGTATCAATTTGGCTGGGTCATGATTCCCGGAATTGTGCGGTTGGCCTCCATTTTGTGATTGTAATTTTATGTTAAAGAGGATTCGAGCAGGATTGTAACACCACCTTTACCAAGGTCACATCCCTGATCCAATGTAAAGGGAGTTTCCTTAGGGTGTGGCCTGCACCACCTTTTATCTCTTAAGAGATAAAAGGAAAGGGAAGCAAGCAGAGAGTTGGGGACCTCATACCATCGAGAAAGCAGTGCCGGGAGCAGAGCGTGTCCTTTGGACCGGGTATCTGCGCAGAGAAGCTCCCAGTCCGGGGGAACACTGATGAGAAGGCCGAGAGAGAGCCTTCCCCTGGAGCTGACACCCTGAATTTGGACTTTTAGCCTACTTTACTGTAAGGAAATAAACTTCTCTTTGTTAAAACCATCTACTCGTGGTATTTCTGTTATAGCAGCACTAGATGACTAAGACAATGCGTGTGTGTATTTGTTTGTTTACATTTGACTCTTAAATCCATCAAGAATTAATTTGCTATTTGAATTATGGTGAGATGCTATTTTTCCCAGTTTTAAATTTTTTTTACCAGTTTATCAATTGTCCCAGAACAAGTTTTGAATAATTTATCTTTTTCCTGATGATTTATAATTCACCTTTATCATATTTTAACATTTTATAAACACTTGGGTCTGTTTCTGGGCTACCTGTCCTATTTCATTGATTTATCTTTATTTGTGTTTTGATACCTGTCAGGAAATATTTTCCCTTATCACTCTTCTTTTTCAAAAATTTCTTAGACAGTATTGCTTATTTGTTCTTTCAGATGCTCTTTAGAATTATTTTTTTGTGTTCGTAAAATATCTCCTTGAAATTTTAATTTTAAATCCTTTAAAGTAGCAAATTAGTTTGGTAAGAATGCTAAGTTCCCAACATTCAGTCTTCTCATTTAGGAAAATGTTCTGTCTTTATTCAGATCTCAATGAAATACAATAATTTATTCATATAGATTGTATACATTGCTTACTATGATTATTTCTAGGTATGTTATGTTTTTACAACTATTATGAATGGAATATTTTTCCAGTATATTTCTAGGTTATTTCTAATATACACAAAAGTTGCTGATTTGTGGACATTTCTTATATGCCTCCACTTAACTGAATTTCTTAGTAAGTCTGTGATTTTTTTAATTAGTTCTCTTGGATTAAAAAAAAGGAATATCATTATATGCTTCTTATAATATTGATACCCAAAACCAAACCCATTGCCATCGAGTCGATTCTGACTCATAGCAACCCTATAGGACAGGGTAGAACTGCCCTGTAGGGTTTCCAAGGAGCACCTGGTGGATTCGAACTGCCGACCTTTTGGTTAGCAGCCATAGCTCTTAACCACTATGCCACCAGGGTTGACAATATTGAAAGTTTTGTTTATTTTTCAATAATTTTACTTCTCATCTATGGTGTATACTATGATAGTACAAAGATAATAATCAACATAAATCAAATCCCTGTTGTTCACTTATCTGTTCAGTTCTGACACCAGCTGCCCCTGCAGCACTTCTTTCTCATCCTAGCCCCCTGAGCTAGGTCAGATCTCACAAGTTTAATGGACACCATCCTTCAGACTGCCAGATAACAGGCAGATGGCAGTCACAAATTTGGGAGTCCTCGTGACACCCTCACTTCTGACCTGCTGGCTACAAATTCGGTATTTTCCTCTACCTGTTTAGGATGCCAGCCACTAGCTCGGGGAACCCCTTGGGCTCCTTCAGTTCTGACCTGCTGGCTCCCACTACTCCTTTGGGTCTGATAACTTGCTGGAACGACTCACAGAATTCACAGCAAGTACTGTCCTTACAGTTATAGCTTTATCCCTTTGGTGCCCAATTATTTTCTGCTTTGAATTTTTTGTTGATACCATGTGTTTTCATTAACAGAAGCATGCTGAATCATTGAGTGTGTCTGAATTTTTGGTAGGTAGTATGGATTTTTTTTTTTACCCCCTCCACAAGCCTACTGTAAGTGTTTAGTGGTACATATGAAGTACCACTAAGTATACCCAGAGACCCCATCAGGGTCTATTGGTACATACGCGTAACAAATAAAAATTTTCAAAATTTCTATTTTTCCTGCCAAAAAATTCAGACAACTCATACAATACCCTGTAAAAACAGTAATTTGGGGCACATGCCCGTTTCTTCAGTTTCCGACGGTCATAAAGGCCCATGCCTTGCGGCAGCATGCACTGTCAGTGGTACGGCAGCTTCCCAATAAACCCTAGAATCTGAAAAAGTTCATGGTCACTGTATGTACTGTGAGGTACAAAAGGGTTAATATAGCAAAAAGAATATAAACGAAGAGATGCACAGGACGAGGTCTGGAAGCGTTTCCAATATGTAGCTTCCATGTCCCAAAGGGTGTGCTACCCTCCCACGTGCATAGATGTCTTTCACCAATCAGGAAGCCCATGGAGCTTCAGTATCTAGAGCTGTTATAAGAGCCCTGGGTGGTGCAAATGGTTTGCACTCAACTTCTAACCTAAGGAGCCCTGGTGGCACAGTGGTTAAGAGCTCGGCTACTAACCAAAAGGTCAGCAGTTCAAATCCACCAGCTGCACCTTGGAAACCCTATGGGGCAGTTCTGCTCTGTCCTACAGTATCACTATGAGTTGGAATCAACTTGACAGCAACAGGTTTGGTTGTTTGGTTTTACTAGGCTAAAGGCTGGCGGTTTGAACCTACCCAGCAGCACACAGAAGAAAGTCCTTGTGATCTGCTTCCATAAAGATTACAGCCAAAAAACCCTATGGAGCAGTTCTACTTTGTAACACATGGGGTCACCATGAGTTGGAATTGACTCAACTACAATGGGTTTGGTTTTGGTTCATTATGTAATGCAACCCCAGCCCCTCTTTCCTTAGGTCAGTCGATATCAAGAGGTAATTATGAAGTGGGTCTTTCTGACCTGGCCAGCCCCCTCCCCAGAGTCACCTCATCACCTCACCTAACCTGTTAGTTAGGTGTAGTCTGAAGTCCTTGAAGACACTTAAATTCCAAAGTTTTTTAAGAGATTATGTCTCAGAACCAAGAGCAAAGACCAAATTCTTTGGGTAAAGTTAATGTAAGCCGCATGGATAATATTTACTAGAACATCTCAAAATAAGTTGTTTTAAAAAGTGGTAAAACATGTATCCATAAAATTTCTGTTAATGGGGATGCCTCTAGTGTTTCACTCTAATGTACAGTGTAACGCTGGCTTTTGGTCTGAGATGAATATTCATAAGCAAGTTCAGGAAGTTTCCTTTTTAGAGCTAATTTTAAGAGCATTAAAAATCAGGAATACCTGTCGAATTTAATCAAACACCTTTTTGGCATGTATTGATCTATTTGGTCTTTGATCTACCAAAGATATAATCACTTGTGTCCTGTTGCTTTTTCATAAACAAGTTTTAAAAAGTCATCTTTTACTATTACAAATTATAGAGCACCCATACAAATGGCAAAAAAAGGTTAAATAACACATCTTTCTATATTTAGAAAAATGTTTGAGAGCATTTAATATTTAGGCATTTATAAATTCAAATTTCTAAGTATCAAACAACATTTTCACCAAGGTAGAGTTACACAGTATTTTAATTAAAATAAATATTTATGAAATGCCTATTACATAAAAGAAAGCACTATGCTAAGCAGTACTAGGAGGGGTGGGGGAAGGTTGGGAGGGATAAAAAGATAAGCAAGATGAGGTCTCTGGCTTCTGGAGGCTTTTATATAGAGGGGCAACCAGACAAGTCCCCAGCTGAGCGAGGGTGAGAAGTAGAAGAGCACAGTGGTGTGAATGGCCACTGCTGGTGGGAATTTCAGGGAGAACATCTTGGAGCAGCATAACCTGCCCACTGTGGGACAGGCAGCCTAGTGCCAGGTGGGGTGGAGGGAAGGGCAATCCAAACAGGCTGCAATGGGAGAGAGAAAAGCACTGAGGCTGTGCTCCTGTGTCTCCAGTGAGAAAGCATAAACCATTCTGAGATATTCTACTGGGTTTTAAAACAACAATCACAAAGTAGGATCAGTGTGTCTGTGCCTCTTATATAAAACATATAGTAAAAATAGGGCAATACAGAGAAAAAATTCTGAGTTAACCAGAAAGTTCAAGATAAGGGTCTTGAAATAATCAGAACAGTTTATCAAGATGTTACATCAAAGGTTCCTTTGAAAAACAGTTTGATAATGAACATTTGCTTTTGAAGATCATTATTTTCAGGAGATGATGCCACCAAGCAGCATATAAACAACCAGCACCTGCCTATTTCTAGCAGTACCCTATAGCACTGGACGTGTGTCAGTGCTGCTTTCAGGGGTGCCACTTAAACAACGAAGGGATGCTGCTTCAAGTCTCCAGGAGGAGCTTCTTGCTATGTTACCATCTCAGCATACCTAACACATGGTGAGATGGATAGCTGACATTTATTTTTTGACCTTATGGTAATACATTATCCCATTAGTGGCTTTTTCTTTTACACTGCTCATTTGTGGAACTGAGGTTCCGCCATTGCAGACATGGTGCACACCTGGCTGGAGAGGATACAGGTGAATACCATGCTTAAGAAGGTATGTATTCATGGAAAGAACTGGGTTTTAATAGACTTTCCAGACTGCTCTGAGTCTTCTTCCTTGGTGCTGGCTCCTCTTGGTTGTGGGGCATACAAACCATCTCTGTATCAATTCAACTGGTTGGTGCAGTTTTCCTGATTATCTGTTTACCAGAAAAATATTTCTTAAGTCAGTTTTATGAAATGGAGGGGTTAGTCACGTGCTCACAAGGAGCACTACAAATGTGGACCATTCAATAGGCTATGAGGTATAGCTGCTGAAATTGTAGCCTTGGCTCCCTTCCTGAAGGCAGACGAGCCATATGAGCCAGGCTACTTGATCTCTTGCTGCATGTCTTGTAAAACGATATTATCTGCCATCAGTTATCTCAAAGGAGTGTATAAAACTTTCTGCATAGGAATACTGCATCTAATAATTTGGTTTTTGCAGTATGTAAGCATGCCCTTCAAAAGCTACTATACTTTTGAATATGCTTCTTCACTTACACACGTGCACGCACACTGTCACCTAAGGGTTGTATTAGTACAATAAACTTATTTAAATAGTACTTGTATGCTTGGAAATCAATGTTAATCTTTATATGGATTTTACCAGTCCTTGACTAACACACACACAAAAAAATCTTACAAACCTATTTCATCAAATTAATTAGGAAATGGTTTCCATTCTCTGGAAATGGTTTGTTTTTAAAAACAAGGGGATTATCCGGAAGAGTGGTCTAAAGTTTGCTATATGACAAGGGTATCTCAGTAGGATCTTTTTTAGTGGTTATAATAGTCATTATAATCCATCCATTTCAGCAGGAAAGGCTTTTGTTTCTTCACAGAGTCTTATGTATCTCTTTTCCAGTTCACCAGATGGGGTAGATATTTCATCAGAATGCAGTTATTAGAACCTTGGGATTTTCTTCTGTCTCCATTGACTCTCTTGTTTTCTTCCCCAATCTGAACCTGAAAATAAAATAGCTGTTAAAGAAAATGAAATATTCAAGATTCTTCTCAAAATGCCAATCTGACACTGAACAACATTTCTCCAGTCAATGAACAAGTAATTATTTAATTCTAACAAGAACCTCATGAGTCTAGAACTAGTATTTTATGATTCTGAATTTTGAGGCCATTTTTTAAATTAAACATAAACAAAACCCAGAACTTAAACTCTTTTACAGTTTCCCAGAAGAAAGCATAGAAAGATAAACATGAAATTTTTGGCAAATTTAAGTTGATACTGAAGTAGCTATGTAATTAAAAAGAAAACAACTTATCAAAAATGAGTACCTTTTACTGTATATGTTCTGTCAGGGATCAGAATCTGTTCCCATATAGACTAATCTTTGTCATGGCCGGGCACTAAAAACACTTTATATAAACTCAAAATAGTTATATCAGATATTCCCATGTAACAGAAGGGAATACTGAGGCTTAGAGAAAATTAAGTAATTTGTCCAAGTTTATGCAGTGGATTTCGGGTTTGAAGGCAGGCAATTTCACTTTAGAACCTAAACTTCTACCATACCACTAATATTTTAAATGTTTATCAATATCATAGGCCAAAAAAAAAAAAAGATATGAAATTGTTTTATTTTGTATTTATTATGTGGACAAGTATGTTTTTTCATGTGTGTTTAGCCACTTATATTTAGTCTTCTATAAATTGCCTGTCCTTTGCCAGTTTTTCTACTGAGTTGTTTATCTTTTTCTCACCGACTGTGAAGAGCTTTTTGTGTATTAGCCCTAAATCTATCTTGTGTGTTGCAAATATTTTTCCCCAGCTTGTTGACTTTTGTCTTTATTTTTGTTTCTTTTTTGCCATACCAACAATTTTAAAAATTATATTATCAGATACATCTCTTCCTTTATTGCTCTTTGCTTTTCCCATTATGCCAGAAACATCTTCTCTAAGATTATAAAAATATTTATGTTTTCTCCTGGTACATTTATTACTGTATTTTTTAGGACTTTTTTTTTTTTTTAAATCTCTCTGGACTTTATCTTGATGTACTTTGAAGTAGAATCCAACTTTTTTTCCCCAAAATGGATAGCTAAATATTCTAACACATTTTATTGAATAATTTGTCTTTCCCCTCACTGATTTTGAATTGTCACTTTTGTCATCTACCAAATTCTCATATTTCTTGAGTTTACTTCTAAACTCTATTCTATTCCATTGTCTTCTATACCTATACCATTAACACATTGGTTTAATTACCATTGTTTTAAAATATGCTATATTATCTTTATAATATGCTATATTATTATCTGATTGAGCTAGTTTCTACTTTAATACTCTTCTTTTTCAGAACCTCCTTTGTATTCTTGTGTATTTATTCTTTCTGAGGAATGTTGGTATCATTTTTTTCAAATTCCACTTACCCTTTCACTTTCTGCATCTGCTCAAAGGTCTCTGGTAGAGTTGTCCCAAAACTTTCAGGGAAGAAAAGGGTTACAATTCCGATCAGGATAGTCAGACTACCCATGACGATGTAGGGCAGAACTCTGTTATAAGCACCTGTAAAACATGGGACATTAAGGGCATCAATCAGAGCGTGAAATACAAAACAGGGATTCTCTGGATGCTCTTGAGAATCATTTTGTAAAGATGTCAGATAGTACTTGAGAATAGTTTTAAATCTGAACATTTTCAGAAGACAAAAAAGTAAGCAAATATCATAGTTTCTTCTTGGCAGATGCCATTGACTCTACATTTCTACAATCATTTACCTACTTGTTTTTGTATTATTGTAAGTGCCTTCCTGTCAACTGGTACTCTATAAGCTACTACTTAATCATGTGTGACAGATGTTCCTTTGATAGAAGTTTTTGCCTACCAAAGTTCCCTCATAAGGTGGAGGAAATTGGAGATGGGGCAGGGGGAGGACATCAGGGAGAAAAAGGTTGACCAAGATTTTGCAAGGACAGGTTCTGCCCATCAAAAGGCTAGTGTGACCTTTGCTTTTGCCCAAACCAGTGGGCTTCAGTGGAGAGCTAGGTCCACAGAGCCATGAAATGCTAAAAGAAAATGTTAAACTAAGTAATATTTTCAATTCAATTTAAATCAATATATGTCAGACACTCTGTGAAAGCACTATGCCTGGATTCATTTTGTTTCATTTTTGAAGTTAAGATTTTATTTAATAATATTACTATAGGAAAAGAACATTTATATGTCTTGGTTTTGTATGTAATTAGAAAAACTACTCCCAGCTCTTCTTTATCTGGGTTACTCAGACAGGAGAATAATAGGCCTCATCTTCCTTCCCTTCTACACACAGAGATTACAGAGGAACACTGCACCCAAGAATTTGATCTGACCCAAAACATAAAGAAAAACATTGATCTTGAAGCTTCTCTGAGGCCTCTGTGTAGCTAACAGGATTAACTATCATGGAGTAGAAAGCTCTGTCTTGGATTTCGTTTCTTATGTTTTTTATGGTTCACCATTGGACCATCTGAGCATGGTTTGAAAGCATAGGGAAAAACAAAGAGGAAGTGATACCACTCTATATAATAATGTACTGTTTCAGGTGTGGAGTCCTGGTGGAGTAGTGGTTAAGAGCTCAGGCTGCTAACCAAAAGGTCAGCAGCAGCTCCTTGGAAACCCTATGGAGCAGTTCTACTCTGTACTATAGGGTTGCAATGAGTCAGAATCGACTCAACGGCAACAGGTTTATCTCAGGTGTGGTCCAGGGCAGTGGGGCAGAATAGGTTTAAGTTAGGGAAATGTTCTATTTTTCTGTAAGGATTTAGAGTGTACCTTCTGTGAGAATTAATATGTGTCTTTGGGAATGGGTGTGTATGTGTGTGCTTGAACCAATAGATGACCAATAGATGATTAGGAAGGATAAGGAGATAAGTCTGCATCTCTTAATAGAATCCTTAATAAGAACTAGGCTTGGAGTGCCAGATCCTACCCTGAGTATCCCACTGAAGCCTCTCTTAACGTATGTGGGTTGGCACTCTGTATGTAATCAGTAATCAATCTGTTACTCCAGATTGATACATTCGATTAGATAAACCAGAATTTTCTGTATTTCAAAAAATATAATGCTAAAATGCAAATGACAAGCTAGAAAAAGTATTTACAATAGATATTTGTTGTTGTTGTCGTTGAGTTGATTCTCACTCATGGAGACTCCATGTGTGCAGAGTAGAACTGCTCCATAGGGTTTGCAAGGCTGTGACCTTTTGGAAGCAGATTGCCAGGCGCCTCTAGGTGGGTTTGAACTACCATCCTTTCAGCTTGTAGTTAAGTGCTTAACTGATTGTATCTTCCAGGGACTCCATAATATATATATTTATAGAGCTAATTACCTTCAATCACAAAGAGCTCTCACAAATAAAAAAGAAAAAGATGAATAAACCACTAAAAATGGACAAAAGATATGAATAGTCAGCTCACTGAAAAATAAATAGGATGGCCAATAAATATATGAAAAAATGCTTGACCTCATTTATAATTAATTAAAGAAATGTAAATGAAAGCAATAATGATATCCATTTTTCATACCAGATTATCAATGATTAAAAAATTAGATAATCCCCATTGTAAGTGAGGATATGAAAAAACAGGTACTCTCCTATATTGATAGTTGGATTATAAATTGGTACAATAGTTAGAGGTCAATTTGACAATATCTATAAAAAATTTTAAAGGCATTCTTTGTTCCAGCAAATTATTAATCTATTCATGAATCAAGATGTATCTAAAAAAAATGCACAAAGGCGCAGCAGAAGTATGTTCATTGTAGTGTTGTTTATAATCGCAAAAACCTGGGAACGGCCTAAATGTCCATCCAATGGACCCTATTTAAATAAATTATGTACATACAACCTTGGAACACTATGTAACTATTTTGAAAAAATAGTAGAAGAGCTAAATATAGAAAGATATTCTATATATGGAAAGATATTCTGCTACAATGCTAAGCTAAAAAAAAGAAGCTGCAAAATAGTACGTGTAATATAATTTTGTTTGTATATTTTATGTGTGCATATATATACATACTTGTGCAAAACAAAATGTCTGAAGAACTACTCACCAAAGAGTTAATACTGGTTACTTCTAGGGAATGTGATTTGGGAAGCTGGGGGGAGGAGAGATGTGGGATTTACATTAACTTTACCCAAAGAATTTGGTCTTTGTCCTCAGTCCCTGAGACACTATCTCTAAAAAAAAAAAAAAAACCTTGGAATTTAAGTGTCTTTGATAAGAACGCCAGACCACACCTAACTAACAGGTTAAGTGAAATGATGAGGTGACTCTGGGGTGGGGGCTGGCCATGTCAGAGAGACCACTTCATGATCATTGTGAGATACTGACTGACCTCAAGAGGAGGGGCTGTAGTTTGCATTACGTAATGAGACCCCCAATAAAAGCTCTGGATATTGAAGCTCCATGAACTTCCCGGTTAATGAAAAACATTGACACATGAGAGAGTAGCATGTTCCTTTTTGGGACATGAAAGCTCCGCATTGGGAACCCTCCCAGACCTTGCCCTATACATCTCTTTATTTATTTTATTATTTTCCTACAAGAAAACTGTAATTATAAGTCTTAAACTTTCCATGAGTTTTGTAAATTGTTCCAGTGAATTACTGAACCAAGGGAGTAGTGGGAGCCAGCAGGTCAGAAGTGAGAGGTGGGGGGCTAACAACATCTGAGCTTGCAGCTGGCATCCTGAAGGGGTAGCAGGAAACCCTGAACTTGTAGTCAGCAGGTCAGAAGTGTGGGTGTCACTCCTATTTAACATTGTGCTGGAAGTCCTAGCTAGAGCAATAAGGCAAGAAAAAGAAATAAAGGGCATCCAAATTGATAAGGAAGAAGTAAAACTTTCCTATTCACAGATGGTATGAGAGAACCCTAAAGACTCCGCAGGAAAACTACTGGAACTAATAGATTCAGTAGAGTAGCAGGATACAAGATAAACATACAAAAATCAGTTGGATTCCCATACACTGATAAAGAGAACTATGAAAAGAAAATCAGGAAAGCAATACCATTTATAATAGCCCCTGAAAAAATACAATACTTAGGAATAAATCTAACCAGAGACGTAAAAGAGCTATACAAAGAAAGCTACAAAACACCACTGCAAGAAACCAAAAGAGACCTACACTAATGGAAAAACATACCACGCTCATGGATAGGTAGGCTCAACATTATGAAAACGTCAATTCTACCCAAAGCAATCTACAAATATAATGCAATCTCAATCCACATATCAACAGCATTCCTTAAAGAGATAGAAAAACTAATCATTAACTTTATATGGAAAGGAAAGAGGCCCCAGATAAGTAAAACATTATTGAAGAACAAAGTAGGAGGCCTTGCACTACCTGACCTCAGAACCTACGGTACAGCTACAGTAGTCAAAACAGTCTGCTACTGGTACAACGATAGACACATTTACCAATGGAACAGACTCGAGAACCCAGAAGTAAATCCATCTACCTATTGCCACTTAATCTTTGATAAAGTCCCAAAGTCCACCAAATGGGGAAAATAGTCTTTTTAACAAATGGTGCTGGCATAACTGGATGTTCATCTGTAAAAAAATGAAACAGGACCTATACCTCATACCATACACAAAAACTAATTCAAAATGGATCAAAGACCTAAATATAAAACCAAAAACTATAAAAATCACAGAAGAAAAAATAGGGTCAATACTAGGAGCCCTAATATATAGCATAAACAGGTACAAATCATAATTAATAATACACAGATACCAGAAGATAAGCTAGATAAATGGGGTCTTCTAAAAATTAAACACGCTCATCAAAAGACTTCATCGTAAAAGGAAAAAGAGAACCTACAGACTGGGAAAAAAATTTTGGCTATGACATATCCGACAAAGGTCTAATCTCTAAAATCTATAGGAAAATCCAACACCTCTATAATAAAAGTACAGATAATCCAATTAAAAATGGGCAAAGGATATGAAAAGACACTACATCAAAGAAGACATTCAGGTGGCTAACGGATAATGAGGAAATGCTCACAATCACTAACCATTAGAGAAATGGAAATCAAAACTACAATGAGATATCATCCCATCCCAACATTACTGGCATGAATCAAAAAAAAAAAAAAGAAAGAAAATAACAAATGTTGAAGAGGTTGTGGGGAGACTGGAACTCTTAGGCACTGCTGGTGGGAATGCAAAATGGTACAACCATTTTGGAAAATGATATGGCACTTCCTTAAAAAGCTAGAATAGAAATACCATACAATCCAGCAATCCCACTCTTACGAATATATCCTAGAGAAATAAAAGCCGTCACATGAATAGACATATACACACCCATGTTCATTGCAGTATTATTCACAATAGCAAAAAGATGGAAACAACCTAAGTGCCCATCAACAGATGAATGGATAAACAAACTATAGTACGTACACACAATGGAATACTACACAATAATAAAGAACAATGATGAATCTGCAAAACATCTCACAACAAGGATGAATCTGGAGGGCATTATGCTGAGTGAAATAAGTCAAACACAAAAGGAAATCACTCCTGAGGTTTACCCTTCAGCCAAAGATTAGACAGGTTTATAGGGCCAAAAATAACACAGATGAGGAACGTGCTTTGTAGTTCAATAGTGTATACAAGACTAATGGGCACACCAGCCCAAAAGCAAAGACAAAAGGCAGGAAGGGATAGGAAAACTGGACGAATGGAAACAGGGAACCTGGGGTGGAGAAGGGGAGAGTGTTGACACATCATGGGGTTGGAAACCAATGTCACAAAACAATTTGTGTATTAACTGTTTAATGAGAAACTAATTTGCTCTGTAAACTTACCCCTAAAGCACAATAAAAAAAAAAGTGTGCTGTCATGGGGACACCCAAGCTTGCAGCTGGCATCTGAAGTCCTGGCCTACTTGGCAGTCTGGAGAATTGTGTTATTTAACTTGTGAGCTCTGAACTAGCTCCGGGTGTTTAGGGTCAGAGGATGAAGTGCTGCATGGACCGGTGTCAGACCTGAACAGAGAAGCAAAAAGTGAAGATTTGCTTTTTGCTGATTATTATCCTTGTAAGAGGGGAACTTGTACTTTTTGTACTACTTTCTCTGCTGTTTGAATTTTTCATAATGAATATCTATTACTTTTATTCTTAAAACGAATTTAAAGAAAGAACAACAACAAAAAAAACGGTGCATCTCACCGAGGTAAACGAAGTAGGGAGCAATGATGCTGCCCACTCTGGAGGCCATGGATGTGATCCCCACAGCCATGTTCCTGACCAGGGTCGGGTAGAGCTCTGCAGTGAAGACATAAAGCATGGAGAAAGCAGAGGTGATCCCAAATTTTCCCAGCATCACCAGACCAATGGACAAGATGTAGTAATCTGGAAAAGAGACACAGTGTAAACAGAGGTGCATTTTAGAAGTGATACTTTCTTAACCTAGTTGCTTTTATTGTCCTTTTGTTGGAGAATGTTTTTATTAACATAAGAATATTCCCAAAATAACACTTTCTCTTTAAATGTCCTAATGACTGGACATGGACAAGGATGGAAAGTGAGGAGTGGCTTTGTACTTTGCTCTACTGTTATTCGAGATCATTTATGTGTTCAGTGACCTTTGTCTATTTTTCTTTTATTTGGTACAATGGTTTCATGGTAAGTTGTCAGCATTTAATGTAGTTAAGTTTAATCTTCAAAGAGATGGACCAATATGACCCAGCAATATCACTCCTAGGTATATACACAAAAGAATTTAAAACGGGGACTCAAGCAGATTCTTGTACACCAAAGTTCATTGCAGCATTATTCACAGTAGCCAAAAGGTGGAAACAAGCCAAGTGTCCATCAACATATGAATGGATTAAAATCGCTGTGTATACATTGTGAGGGATTGAATTGTGTCCCTCCAAAAAAATGTGTGTCAATTTGGCTAGTCTGTGATTCCCAGTATTGTGTGACTGTCTACCATTTTGTCACTTGATGTGATTTTCCTATGTTTTGTAAATCCTACCTCTGTGATGTTCTTGAGGTGGGATTAGCAGCAGTTATTTTAATGAGGCAGGACTCAATCTACAAGATTAGATTGTGCTTTAAATCAATCTCTTAAGATATAAAAGAGAGAAGCAAGCAGAGACATAGGGACCTCATACCACCAAGAAAGTAGTGCCAGGAGCAAAGCGCGTCCCTTGGACCGGGGATCCCTGCACTGAGAAGCTCAAAGACCTTCCTCCAGAGCCAATAGAGACAAAAAGCCTTCCCCTGGAGCTGGCGCCCTGAATTTGGACTTCTAGTCTACTAGACTTTGAGAGCATAAACTCTTGTTTGTTAAAGCCATCCACTTGTGGTATTTCTGTTATAGCAGCACTAGATGACTAAGACATACATAAAATGGAATATTATTCAGCTTTAAGGAGAAATGAAGTTCTGATACCTGCTAGAACATGGATGAACCTTAAATACATGCTGAGTGAAATTTGTCAGACATCAAAGGACAAATATTATATAATTCCACTTATATGAAATATCTAGAATAGGCAAATGCATACGGACAAAAGTTTATTAGCTTTCACCAGGGGCTGGGAGGAGGGGGAAATGGGAAGTTATTGCTTAAGGGGTACCGAGTTTTTGTTTAGGATGATGAAAAAATTTAAAAATGGGTAGTGATGATGGTTGCACAACATGGTGAATGTAATTAATGTCACTGAATTTTACACTTAAACATGGTTATAAACAAACCAATTAAAAAATAGAAAAAGAACTTGAATAAACATTTCACCCAAAGAAGAAATACAAATAGCCAACAAGCACGTGAAAAGATGCTCAACATAATTAGTCACTAAAAACCAAACCCGTTGCAGTCAAGTCGATTCCGACTTATAACAACCCTATAGGATAGAGTAGAACTGCCCCATAAGGTTTCCAAAGAGCACCTGGTGGATTTGAACTTCTGACCTTTTGGTTAACAGCTGTAGCTCTTAACCACTACACCACCAGGGTTTCCAGTTAGTCATTAGGGAAATACAAATCAAAAGAACAATGAGATATCACTTCGCCCCTACAAAGATGGCTATGATTAAAAAAAAAAAAAAGGAAAACAATAGATATTGGTGAGGATGTGAAGAAATTAGAACCCTCATCTATTGTTGATGGGACTGTAAAATGGTATAGCCACTGTGGAAAACAGTTTGGAGGTTCCTCAAAAAGTTAAACATATAATTGCCATATGATCTAGCAATTCCTCTACTAAGTATATGCCTGCAAGAATTGGAAGCAGGAACACAAGCAGATATATGTACACCAATGTTCATTACAGCACTATTCACAATGGCCCAAAGGTGGAAACAACCCAAGTGCCATTTTGTTGAATGGATAAACAAAATGTAGTATACAGAATGGAATATTACTCTGCCATAAAGGAAATGAATCCCTGTTACATGCTACAATATGGATGAACTTTGAAAACATTATGCTGAGTGAAATAAGTCAGCAACAAAAGCACAGGTATTATATGATTCCACTTACATGAAATATCTAGAATAGGCAAATGTACAGAGTCCGAAGTTTATTAGTGACTATCAGGAGTGGTAGGGAAGGGGAAGAGGGAGTCCTTGCTTAGCGAACATTGAGCTTTTGTTAAGGGTAATGGAAAAATTTGGAAACGGATAGTGGTGATGGTTGCATAACATGATGAACATAATTAATGCCACTGAATTGTACACATAAAAAAAAGTTGAAATGGCAAATGTTTTATTATATACATATTTACCACAATACAATTTTAAATGGTTAAAATGGCAAGTGTTTTGTTTTATATATCTTACCACAATAAGATTTTAAAAATAATAATAAAAGAGATGGACCAATCCTTTCTATCCTTCTCTTATTAAGAAATATATATTTCTGTGTATCAATAATATATTGACGTAACATTTATGTGATATCTAACTATAGATTACAGACCATAAAATCATTGCAATTAACATTGGAACTACCATGTACTACCAATGTTAACATTTGAATGTATACCTCAGACAAAAGGTTTGAAAGTATCAAAAAATTAGGAACCATTAGTGTGACTCTGAGAAAGAGGCTTGAGAGTTTAGGTGAGTCCTTCCACCAAGGAGATGAATGGGAGAGTGCCTCTTCCTTTTTAGTTAGTGATTTCAGATTCCCCAAGGCTGACCCTTCTGTTGAGAAGAGTTGTTTTTGAGCCCTGGATACTATACGGTCAACTCTCACTTGTCTAACTGATTTATGAATGGTTTCTAATATAAAGGCTGCATAAACAGGAAGCCATGACAAATAAGTGGCCTTTTGTGGCTCTCTCTCTTTTTTTTTTTTTTTTGGTGAAAAGTTGTTAACATTGCTTAACTTCTTACCTTCAGGAACTACTTGAATTAAAAGAAGCACACCTCCTCCCATGAACAGTACCCCAGCTATGATATAACGCCTAGGCAAGCTTCGAAGTAGCAGCCATGCTGTAATGTAAGCAGGAATTTCAATCAAGGCAGAGAGGAAACAGTTCAGATAGGCATCTCCATGTAAATTAGGAGTGTTGAGAGACAGAGCAAAGTAACCCACTGAAGTCAGCATCCTAAAAAACAAACAAACAGATAAAATTACAAAAGGATGGCTTCAATCACTCAAAAATTTCCTGATGGTCAAGAAATTGTCTAGATCTTGCTGTCCTATATGTAGCCACTAGCCACATGTGACTATTTAAACTTAAATAAAATTAAAACAAGTTAAAAATTCAGTTCCTCAGCTGCACTAGCCACACGTCAAGTGCTTAACAGCTACATATTGCTAAACCAAAAAAACCAAACCCATTGTCATCGAGTGGATTACGACTCCCAGAGACCCTACAGGACAGAGTAGAACTGCCCCCATAGGGTTTCCAAGGAGCGGCTGGTGGATTCAAACTGCCACGACATTGGTTAGCAGTCAAGCTCTTAACCATTGTGCCACCAGGGCTCCATGTGGCTAGTGGTTACTATATTGGACAGTATAGATGTAAAACATTTCCATCATTGCAGAAAGTTCTATTGGACTTTCTAGCCTAGATATGCCAATATTCAACAATGCCTATCCTAGGGCAGTTGATTTCAAATTTCAGTATTTCCTGAATAGTTTGTACATTCTCACTCCCCTAGAGATATTATTTGAAGAAAGAATGTCAGTCACATCAGTGAACATAAAACTGAGATTTCAATCTTACCAAAAACAGATACATCTGTAATACTGTGGGATCCACTTACAGTAAATTCTGATTTAGTGAAGCTCACTTTAGAGAAAAGAATGAAAGTCCATAATGCTTCAAAGCATCACAGAGTGCAAACTGCACATCCTGTCATTACAGTCAACTTCTACCCAGAAGCTTCTCTGGGAAAAATAACTGCACTATGCACTGTGTATACAAGTTTGCTTGTTACTAACATGACTGAAAAGCAGAGAATGTCTGAAAAATGTCTTTAGAAACACAGCTGGGTCTTTTTTATACACACCATACTAGGTTGGATAGCACAACAGCTAACCCCAAACAAAACAAAAAATTAAACTGTACTTCTGTGGGGATCTTAATGCTTTCACATTTGGTGATAAGCACAATGACTAGTTTATTATTGGCTCAGTAGCACCATTACTCAAGACAAATTTGTACCAGAGAGATATGCTGACATGTAAGAACTGAGGAGATCCACAGTGAGGAAGGCCATGTGCCTAGGACACACTTGATTAATTCAGGGGCACTAGCTGGATTCTGTCATTGATTTCTTCTAATTGCAAAAACTGGATGGCCCTTCAAATAGGCTAGCTGCAGCTTGAATCTACTAGTTCTAATTCTCATCTTTATTTTGTGTGTGTGTGCACGTGTGCTGCTGTTATGGGTAGGCCAACTCTTTTTTTTTTCCTTTGCCTCATTTCTTGGCAGATACGTTATTAAATCTGGTCTACAAAGTCAATTCATTATTTCTGTGCCTTTAAAGAACTAGTTAGTTTGATGTTAACCAAAAAACGTGTTGCCATCCAGTCGATTCCAACTCATAGTGACCCTACAGGACAAAGTAGAACTGCCCTATAGGGTTTCCAAGGAGCAGCTGGTGGATTTGAACTCCTGACCTTTGGGTTAGCAGCCAAGCTCTTAAACACTGTGCCACCAGGGCTCCAGTTTGATACTATCAAGTGTTAAAAAGCTATGGAGACTCAAATCTAGGCAATGGGGATGCAGGTGATTTTAATTTCACTGTTCAATTGCCAGTGCAGCTTCAGAAAGCAGCATGTGAATTAACATCTGTGCTGCAGGCACCAGGGTCATCATTAGTCTTCTAATTCTGTAACCTTAGGGGGGGAGGGAATCCTTTCCCTGTGGGCCACAGTACTGCCAGCTTAAATATAGTTCCCTGTGATTTTTTTAAGTATCCAGTTCCATGAATCGAATGGAGGCATTTCCAAATAACTTTGTTGTTGTTAGCTGCCGTTGAGTTGGCTCTGAATCATGAAGACTACATACATGACACGACAAAAAGTTGCCCGGTCCTGTGCCATCTTCACGATCATTGGTATGCTCAAGTCCATTGTTGTGGCCACTGTGTATTTTGAGTGCCTTCCAACCTAGAGGGCTTATCTTCCAGCACTGTATTGGACAATATTCTCTCATGATATATAGGTTTTCATTGGCTAATTTTCAGAAGTAGATTGCCAGACCTTTCTTCCTAATCTGTCTTAGTCTGGATGCTCCACTGAAACCTGTCCACCATGGGTGACCCTGCTGGTATTTAAAAACCAGTGGGATAGCTTCTGGCATCACTAAAAAAAACAAAACAAAAACCCAAACCCACTGCTGTCGAGTTGATTCCGACTCATAGCAACCCCATAGAATTTCTAAGGCTGTAAATCTCTACGGAAGCAGACTGCCACATCTTCTCCCATGGAGCCCCTGGTGGTTTCAAACTGCCTACCTTTTGGTTAGCAGTCGATCGCTTTAACCACTGTGCCACATAGCAACATGAAAACCACCACAGTATGACAAACTGACAGATCCAAACCCCAAGCCCATTGCCATCTAGTTGGTTCCAACTCATAGTGACCCTATCAGACAGAGTAAAACTGCCCCATAGGGTTTTCAAGGCTGTAAACTTTATGGAAGCAGACTGCCACATCTTTCTCCCATGGAGCGGCTGGTGGGTTCAAACCCCACCCTTTTGGTTAGCAGCAGAGCGCTTTACCACTGCACCACCAGGGCTCCAACTGACAGATGGAAGGTGGCAAATAACTTAGAATTCTATAATTTTTGTCTCAGGGTAACTCAGACCTTGCCCAAATGTTTCCTCTGAAATAAAGAAAATCAGTTGTATACTTACGTGCTGTATGTATGCATTTTCAGATCACTTGTTACTTACCATAGCAACAAAGACATAATTGTTATTATGGCAATATTCCAAGTCCTGAACAGGTCCAGAATGAAAACTTTCTGCTGCTTCAGAGGTTTTAGCTCCTGTGACTAAAATAATGGAAACAGCCATGAGATTAAGAGGTCGTAAACAGGACAATTTATACATGTAACACTTGCTTTGCCTTGAATAAGCTTAGAAGTCTGAAATTTGGGGGGAATAAGGGCATCTACTACTGACCTTTTTGGTTAGCAGCAGAGTGCTTAACCACTGTACCACAGGAGAAAAGACCTGGCAATCTGCTCCCTCAAAGATTACAGCCTAGGAAACCCTATGGGGCAGTTCTACTCTGATTGCAATCAACTCAATGGCACATAACAACAATAACAAGGGCATCTACCTATGTGATGCTTATTCTAATACTTTACAATGTTTTTAGACCATTTTAGACAGAAGTCTTTTTAAATACATAGCATCAGCTGCAGTTTGTCCTTATATAAAGCCTGATTGTTAACATAGCCTTTTCCTGACTCCTGATCATCACTGTGGATGGCTTTTATCACACTGAGCTACTTAGGGCCTATTAGTCTGGTGGGATCATACAGCCTTAAACTGCCTTGAGGTCCTATCTGCTTTTTATACTTTTGTTGTTGTCTCGTAGCATCAGAATAGACTCAGGTTAACCAGGAGATCTTGGGCAAGATATTATTTATCCTCTCTGAGCCTCAGTTTACTTCTTCTGTAAAATGAGTATAATAATTGGGAGCTGAGACAATTAAATGAGATCATTTATATATAAAGATTAGCACAGTACTTGAACCATGGTAAATACCCAATAAATTTTAGCTATTATTATTATTACCTCATCTTCGAGGAAAAGATGCTAGCCTTCAGTGGTTAGTGGCAATTTCTTACTGCTGTCCATGGGCTTCTCTACTTTTAGTTTGCCGATGTTAATTTACCATGAGTTAGGAATCTAGATAACCAAGCTTATTAGAATTGAAACTGAAATAAAAATTACAAGGCTGCTGACACATTACAGGGATTGCAATCAATGTCCAGAAACCATTTATTTGTGTATAAATTTTTGAATGAGAAACTAATTTGCTCTGGAAAGTTTAAAGCACAATAAAAAAAAAAATTATAAGATTCTGAGGTGGGAAATCCCTCGGGAGAAAGAACAAGGACTTTGTAACCCTATGGTAGTTATGCAGTAAGAGATTGAGGAAGGAGGAGTTTTTGTTAAGAAGGAAATGAGTGTCAGACCTGCCTTTATAGCAGATGCTTCCCAAACGTCAGCATCCTTCTTTCCAGGAATAATTAGATACCTCCTCACACATCCCACAGCCATGCTGCCTTTCTCTCCTGCACTATTGGGAGCGTCGTTGTTGTGTGTTGTTGAGTCGATTCCAACTCATAGCCATCCTATAGGACAGAGTGTGGCTTCCTAGTCTGTAATCTTTACGGGAGCAGATTGCCAGGTTTTTTCTTCCTTGGAGTGGCTGGTGGGTTAGAACTGCTGACTTTCAGTTAGCAGCTGAGTGCTGAACCATTGTGCCATTGTGTCCCCAGCAGCATAACCCTGTTATTACAACAAAGCAAAGCCGCTGAATAAACAATGGGAACTAGCAGTCCTCCTAGAGGGTTCTGAGAGCAGTGGCCACACACAGACAGGACCTGCAGATCAAGCCTGTGCTAACATTTGGTGCTTCCCCACGGCCCTTGTTAAAACTCAGATTGTCAGGCCCTGCCCTGGGCCTTCTTAATTTGAATCTTTCATGGTGCTTGGGAGCCTGGAAATCTGTATTTTTAAAGTTCCCTGAGTGATTGTGATAAGCAGCCAGGTTTGGACTACTCTTGTATCTAGTGGTTGTCCCTGGCTTGTGTGAAGCCACGAAAATGTCTGGACCAGGCACCGTGCAGATTGAAGCTGCTTCAAAGGTGAAGTCCAAGATCGCTTCCCAAGAGGATACTACTCTATACTTTTTCCTGTCAAAGTTAATGCCACTGTCCCTAACCTGGGACATGGGTAAAAAATCACAGTTGGACAAACAAAAGCACAAAAGGACAAACACTGTATAATCCCACTTACATGACATAGGCAAAGGTATAGAGACCAAAGATTATTAGTGGTTACCGGGGGGTGGGGGGAAGGGAAAAGGAACGTGGGAGTCATTGTTTAGGGGGCACTGAGTTTCTGTTACTGGAATAATTTGGAAAAGGATAGTGGTGATGGTTGCACAACATGATAACTGTAATCAGTGTCACTGAATTATACATGTAAAAATCATAGAATTGACAAATGTTTTGTTATATACCTTTTTTACCACAATTTAAAAAAACAAAAGGTAAATAAGTCACAGTTGTTAAGAACAAGGACTTTGAAGCCAGAGAGATCTAGGTTCCAAATCCCAGCTTAATAGCTATGTGATCCAGGGAAAGTTACTTAACTTCTCTGTGTCATACTTTTTTCTCCTAAACAACGGGGCTAATAGTAGTGCATAAGCACTAAGTGAGCTGAACACTGTGCCGGGATCTGGTAGGCTCTTCATAATGCTGCGCAGGCTGCACTTGCGGGCACAGAGCCTCCTAGAGGGGACCCGACCTGGGAGGTGAGCAGGGGAGATGATCACGGCAGGAAGAAACAAGGTACTGTCAGAAGCATGTGTTTTGACACTGGACTTCGCTCTTATTCATCAACTATATATCTCTTATGTTTTACGATTGCTTTTATCCACATAGGTCTGGATTCTACAACTAGACTGTCAGTTTCTCAAGACAGGAATCAGACCACATATCCAATAAGTACCCATAAACACCTAGCACAGCACTGAAGAGCATACGTGTCAGACACTCCCACTATTCTTTTTGTAGCCACTGAAATTGATTAAGGCTGGGAATGGAATTCTTGATTTGAAGAGCAAAGACTTAAGACATGTTTTGGCCTGGTAGCCCTCTGAGAGCTTGGGTTCATGGTCACTGTAATTCAGCCTGCAGCCACAGCCAGAGTACTGTATCTGGAAAAGGTGCGGAAGGCCAGGGATGGGGGGAGCCCTCAGGGGTGGAGCACTGGCATGCCCTCCATCCTCCAGAGTTCTGCTTTCCATGGCAGCCGGGAGTGCAGACTTCAGCGCAGGGAACGCGTATTCCTGCTGCAGCCACACTTGTCTTCCTTTTTTTTTTTTTTATTTCCACGAGTACTTTTTTTTTTTTAGGATTAATTTTTTTTATTGTACTTTAAGTGAAAGTTTACAATTCAAGTTAGTCTCTCCTACAAAAATTTATGCATACATTGTTATGTGACCGTAATTGCTCTCCCTATACTGTGACAGCACACTCCTCCTTTCCACCCCAATTTCCCATGTCCATTCAACCAGTTCCTGACCCTCTCTGCCTTCTTATCTCACCTCCGGACAGAAGCTGCCCATTTAGTCTCATGTATCTACTTGAGCTAAGAAGCACACTCTTCACGAGTATCATTTTAGGTCCCACAGTCCAGTCTAATCTTTGTCTGAAGAGTTGGCCTCGGGAATGGTTTTAGTTCTGGGTTGACAGAGAGTCCAGGGGCCATGATTTCTGTGGTTCCTCCAGTCTCAGTCAGACCATTAAGTCTGGTCTTCTTTACTAGAATTTGAGTTCTGCACCCCACTTTTCTCATGCTCCATCAGGGACTCTACACTTGTCTTCTTGGGGTGTCCTGAGCAGTCTACTTTTTCTCCTACCCAATCCTCACCATTCACCTAAGTGAAGCCAATCATCCTCCCTGGTTTGGACTTGTCCAGGCAGGACCTGGCCTCCTTGCTCTCTCTTTCACTGTACCACTAGGCAGTCTCCACTCCTTGAGTACGTGGCATTAACTCCCTTCTGCTATCATTTATCTTTTCTTCTAATCCTCTTGCCCTTGTTAGTTACGTTTGATGCTCCCAAAGGGCAAGCGCTCTCTCTTATTTTTCTTGTTTCCCCTAGGACCCAGCAGGGCCTGGCACACTGCATGTCCTCGTGACTGTCAGGAAGTGTGGCTGCTTCCACAGAGTATCAGCCTTTCCTGTGTCCACTGGTCTACAGGGGTGACCCCTCAAGTCTGTGCTCTCAAGCCTTAAGATCTACAAATGACACATAGCAAGACTAAAGACATGCACAGCTTCCTCAGCTGGCTTTGGTGAGATTCAGGGTTCAGTAAGGAACCTGTGGGTGGCATAGCTCTCAAACACATTTTTCCCACTTAATCTAGACATCTAAAAATCCTTTGTCTGTAGCCCCGTCAACGGTATGGAGCAATCAATAAAAAATTGGAGATAAATGTACAAAATAAAGGGAAGGAAAATTTAATGACATTATATGCTAAGCAGTTTACACATATTAAAAAAAAAAAAACCTATTGCCTTCGAGTCAATTCCTACTCATAGCGACCCTATAGGACAGAGTAGAACTGCCCCACAGGGCTTCCAAGGAGCAGCTGGTGGATTCAAACTGTTGACCTTTTGGTTAGCAACCTGAGCTCTTAACCACTTAGCAACCAGGACTCCTTACATACATTATTGCACTTAATTTGTAGTATGACTCAAGAAGAAACAGCTGCAAACATCCATTACTATTCAGAACGTGGAATGTAAGAAGTATGAATCTAGGAAAACTGGAAGTTGTCAAAAATGAAATGGAACACTTGAAGATTGATATCCTAGGCATTAGTGAGCTGAAATGGACTGGTATTGGCCATTTTGAATCAAACAATCATATGGTCTACTATGCCAGAAATGAGAAACTGAAGACTTGCATTCATTGTCAAAAAGAACATTTGAAGATCTATCCTGAAGTACAAAACTTTCACTGATAGGATAATATCCATAGTGATAGGATAATATCCATATGCCTACAAGGAAGACCAGTTAATATGACTATTATTCAAATTTACGCACCAACCACAAATGCCAAGGATGAAGGAATTGAAGATTTTTATCAACTTCAAAAGTCTGAAATTGATCAAACATGCAGTCAACATGCATTGATAATTACTGGTGATTAGAATGCAAAAGTTGGAAACAAAGAAGAAGGATCAGTAGTTGGAAAATATGGTCTTGGTGATAGAAATGATGCTGGAAATCACATTATAGAATTTTGCAAGACCAACTACTTATTCATTGGAAATACTTTTTTTCCATAACATAAACGACGACTATACACACGGACCGCGCCGGATGGAATACACAGCAATCGAATTGACTACGTCTGTGGAAAGAGATAATGGAGAAGCTCAATATCATCAGTCAGAACAAGGCCAGGGGCTGACTGCAAAACAGAACATCAATTGTTCATATGCAAGTTCAAACTGAAGCTGAAGAAAAGTAAAACAAGTCCACAAGAGCCGAAGTACAACTTTGAGTATATCTCACCTGAATTTAGAGACCATCTCAAGAATAGATTTGGTGCATTAAACACCAGTGACTGAAGACCAGACGAGTTGTGGAATGACATCAAGGGCATCATACATGAAGAAAGCAAAAGGTCATTGAAAAGAAAGAAAAGACCAGAATGAATGTCAGAAGAGACTCTGAAACTTGCTTTTGAACGTAGAGCAGCTAAAGTGAATGGAAGAAATGATGCACTAAAAGAGCTGAACAGAAGATTTCAAAGGGTGGCTCTAGAAAACAAAGTAAAGTATTATAGTGAAATGTTCAAAGACCTGGAGTTAGAAAACCAAAAGGGAAGAATACGCTTGGCATTTCTCAAGCTAAAGAACTGAAGAAAAATTCAAGCCCCGAATTGCAATATTGAAGGATTCTGTGGGCAAAAAAAATTGACGAGGGAAGCATCAAAATAAGATGGAAGGGGGGACATCATACACCACCAAGAAAACAGCACTGGGAGCAGAGGATTAGGGTAGGATTGTAACACTCTTACCAAGGTCATGTCCCTGATCCCATGTAAAGGGAGTTTCCCTGGAGTGTGGCCTGCACCACCTTTTATCTTACAAGAGATGAAAGGGAAGCAAGCAGAGAGTTGGGGACCTGATAACACCAAGAAAGCAGTGCCAGGAGCAGAGCGCGTCCCTTGGACCTGAGGTTCCTGTGCTGAGATGCTCCCAGACCAAGGGAAGACTGATGACAAGGACCTTCCTCCAGAGTCGACAGAGATAGAAAGCCTTCCCCTGGAGGTGACACCCTGAATTTGGACTTGTAGCCTACTAGACTGTGAGAGACATAAATTTCTCTGTTAAAGCCAAAAAAAAAAAAAAAAAAAAAGATGGAAACAATGCACAGAGTCACTGTACCAAAAAGAATTGGTCGATGTTCAACCATTTCAGGAGGTAGCATACGATCAAGAACCGATGGTACTGAAGTAAGAGGTCCAAGCTGTGCTGAAGGCACTGGCAAAAAACAAGGCCCCAGGAATTGACAGAATACCGATTGAGATGTTTCAACATATGGATGCAACACTAAAAGCACTTACTGGTCTATGCCAAGAAATCTGGAATACATCCACCTGGCCAACTGACTGGAAGAGATTCATATTTGTGTCCATTCCAAAGAAAGGTGATCCAATAGAATGTGGAAATTATCGAACAATATCATTAATATCACATACAAGTAAGATTATGCTGAAGATAATTAAAAAACGGTTGTAGCAGTAAATTGACAGGGAACTTCCAGAAATTCAAGCTGGATTCAGAAAAGGATGTGGAAGGAGGGATATCATTACTGACATCAGATAGATCTTGGTTGAAAGCAGAGAATACTAGAAAGATGTTTACCTATGTTATATTGAATATGCAAAGACATTCAACTGTGTGGATCAGAACTGTGTGGATATATGGATAACACTGCCAAGAATGGGAATTCCAGAACACTTAATTGTGCTCATGTGGAGTCTGTACATAGACCAAGAGGCGGTTGTTCCAACAGAACAAGGGGATACTGCATGGTTTAAAATAAGGAAAGGTGTGCATCAGGGTTGTATCCTTTCACCATACTTTTTCAGTCTGTATGCTGAGCAGATAATCTGAAAAGCTGGACTATATGAAGAAGAACAGGGCATCGGGACTGGAGAAGAGTCATTAACAACCTGTGATATGAAAATGACACACCCTTGCTTGCTGAAAGTGAAGAGGACTTGAAGCACTTACCGACGAAGATCAAAGACTACAGCCTTCAGTATGGATTACACCTCAACATAAAGAAAACAAAAGTCCTCACAACTGGACCAATAAGCAACATCACGATAAACGGAGAAAAGATTGAAGTTGTTAAGGATTTCATTTTACTTGGATACACAATCAATGCCCATGAAAGCAGCAGTCAAGAAATGAAATGACTCATTGCAATGGACAAATCTGCTGCAAAAGACCTCTTTAAAGTGTTAAAAAGCAAAGATGTCACTTCAAGGACTGAGGTGCACTTTGTGTACTTGCCCCAAGCCATGATATTTTCAATTGCCTCATATGCATGCGAAAGCTGGACAATGAATAAAGAAGACTGATGAAGAATTGAAGCATTTGAATTAGGGTATTGGGAAAGAATATTGAATATACCTTGGAATGCCAAAAGAACAAATAAATCTAACTTGGAAGTACAGCCAGAATGCTCCTTAGAAGTGAGGATGATGACACTTCATCTCATGTACTTTGGACACGTTCTCAGGAGGGACCAGTCCCTGGAGAAGGATATCATCCTTGGTAAGGTAGAGGGTCAGTGAAAAAGAGGAAGACCCTCAATGAGATGGATTGACACAGTGGCTGCAACAATGGGCTCAAGCATAACAACGATTGTGAAGATGGCGCAGGACTGGGCATTGTTTTGTTCTGTTGTACATAGGGTCGCTGTGAGTTGGAACCGACTCAACAGCACCTAACAAAAATTTGTGCACAGCTCTTTAAGGTGAATTTCATCTCAGAACTTAGTCATCATTGTGTCCCTAAGACTTAGTACAGTGCCTGGTACATAGTGAATACTCAATAAATATTGAATTAAGTTAAATTTCATAAAAATCAAGAACGCATAGCTGATTTCAAGAGGCAACATCTGCAAATTCTTACCTCCATAGAATCAAATATCACTTCTGGGGTAGTAATGCTGTTCATTTTTGCAGCTTTTTTAATGATATCTTCAGCTTCTTTAAATCTTCCCTGGGATATCAGCCACCGGGGAGATTCAGGAATAAACCTAGAATTAATTTTCAATAGTCTGTAATTTTTCACAGTAGCATTGTTTGATACTATTATTTGCAAGTTGCCCCCCGCCAATAGATTTAATTTTGTAAAATTCTAGTTTGTGGGGTTTGTTTGTTTTTTAAAGAAAATTGGGAGGGGGCCCTCATAAATAAGTAAAAGGACCTTCAAGTCTCAAAGTCCTGATCAAATCTCAAGACTGATCATCAGTTGTACTTGAGACCAAACCAGACCATAACGGGTGACATTACTGTGGGCATTTTAAGCCAGGGCAGCTGGAAAAGGCCATCTGAAACGCAATAGCCATTGTGGTTCAAAAGAGAAACACACTCTACTAAACTGTAAGACCCCCCAGAGAAGAAACTGTATTTTCAGAATGTCCAGCCTCGGAGAATTCCTGATGCCCCAGCTGGTGGCGTTTGCCAGTTTATGGGCTAAAGGCTGGTCAGGGCATCTGTGCTCCTCAAGATTTTGCTGCAGGTAGAAGAGAAGTTGAGCGCCCTGATGCCCTCCTGTGGAGTCCCCACAGCTTTCAGTGGATTCCCAAGTCGGTGAGCACCCAAACCCTTTTGGGAGAGATAAGCCAATGTTCTCTTTTTTGTTTTGTTTTAGTGTCTAGAAATTTTTTTCTTTTTATAACAATCAATCCACTGACATTCAAACACAGTTGCAAATATTGCCTTCCATTCTTTCCTAATTTTTATTTCTCAGAGTCTTAGCCATTCTTCTGCCAGCTGTTTTCTTTATCTATTTGCTAGTATTTAGTTACCCTAGAAAATAAATTACATGTAGCAGAGCAAGTGGCCTCCTGTAATTAACAGGTCCACCCAAAGCCTCACTAGGAATTAGCTCAGAGCAAAACACAAGATATCAAATGGCCAACCCTGAAGCTGCCGTTCACAGCTTACAAGCACATGAGCTGAAAAATGAGTCCCAGTTTACATTTGTTTGGAATATGCCCTAAGTTGGTCCCTGTAGGAACTGATGATGTTAGATCACTAACCTTCAGTACCTCGAGCTGCACTGTCTAATAGGACTTTCTGCGGTCTTCTATATCTGTGCTGTTCAATACAATAGCCACTAACCACATGTGTCTATTGAGCACTTGATATGTGACTAGTGTGACTGAGAAAATGGATTTTAAAATTTATTTACTGTTAATTAATTTCATTTTAAATTGAAACATGTGGCCAATGGCTACTGTACTAGTGCAGAATTAGGGGTCTTACTGCAAAGCCACTGTATCCTTCATGGACACTTCTACTTCTGAGCAGTTTCTTTCCCCAACCAGGTGATGCTTAGAAATAGTCTACCTTTCTTTCTATAGGCTCTGTGGCCCATCATTGGTCTCAGATACCCTATGAAACATGTTTATTGAGTCAACTAGAAAAATGCAACACTTCCTCCATGTTGCATCTATGGCTTCCTTCCCACCCCTACCTCCACCCCTTACACATATACTCCATTCATACCTGTGGTCACTTACTGCCAAGCCTTTTAAAGGAACTTGGAACATAAAAAATTCCCAAGTCACCTGTAATGATTCTGTGTAGTTTCCCCTCCCACTTCCAGCCCACTGTACCCAGGACTGCTGGGATCTCTACTTTTGAACTGTTGTGATTTGGGGATGCACAAATTCTCAAGTCTAGCTGATCATTTCAGAAGTTAATGGAGTGGTAAATGAGGTTGTACACTATAGCCACTCTGTAGATTTAATTCAAATTAAATAGGGTGGGCTGTTGCTGGAAAGCTGCTGAGCAAGCAGCAGAAAGGACAGCAACTCTTAAGTGTCCCCCATGTCATCCCAGCTCACCTGGACTGATGGGCATTGATTCAGGAAGTCTCACTTTCAAAAGTGAGATGTTTAGAAGAAAGCTACTTTGTAGAGGAAGACGATAAGACTGTTTTTGTTAAACTTTCAGGACAACACCCAGCTTGTTAGTGCTGGCCCCAGGCTGCCCTCTGTTGGGGCAATCCTCTCCCTGGAGCAGTCCTGTCCCTGGTGCTGCCGTGTCCCTGGTACAGTCCTGTCCTGGAGCAGTCCTGTCCCTGCAGCAGCCCTGTCCCTAGAGCAGCCCTGTCCCTGGAGCAGTCATGTCCTGGAGCAG